TAAATACATTTGACTTTCATTAAATTTAAAAATGTTTGTTTGAATGCATTTGACTTTCATCAAATTCAAGGAACTTGTGCATAATCATGCAAAATATGAACATATGCATAGGTTCCCTTAAATGTGAACATTAGCTTTTCAGAAATTGAACATAGGCATAAAACATATGAACATATGCATTTCAAAAAGTAAACATAACAATTCAAATATGAACGTAAGCATTGGTTTCCTTAAAGTGAATATAACCATTTAAAAGGTGAACATATGTGTAAAAAAATATATGAACATATGCATTTAAGAAAAAGAACATATGCATAAACAGGCTTAATGAGAATATTTATGAACAACAAATATTTACTATTAAAATTTACATTATGAACATATATAATATTATTATTATAAATATAAGACATTTAATTATGAACATAAAAAAATTGAAGAAATAAAAAATAATATGATTATGAAACATATGCATCATAAGTATTAAAAATATGAACATATGCATTCAAAATATGAACACATGCATTGGTTCATTTTTGAATGCGTATGAACATAATTAAGCATTTGAACAGGTGAACATATACATACAAAAATATGAACATATGGATTTAGAAAGTGAATATAAGCATTTCGGAAAGTTTACAAAAGGATTCAAAATATGAACATAAGAATTCAAAATATGAACATATGCATTTCGGAATGTGAACATAAGGTATCCGTTTGATTTCACTAATTTTTTTTGACAATTCCAATAAAAAATTTCGAACAATAGAGTATCGAACAATATTCAAACAAAATTAAGTGATAATCATATAAATTCAAACAAAATTAAGTGAAATTTACATAAAATTACCTTTTTTTAGGGAGGATCCTTTTGGTTTTGCATCTCTTCTCTAATATCCATTGATATTTTTGCAGTTTTTTAGTGAGAGAAAATGAAATAGAGGAGAGAGAAAGTGAAAAAGAGGAGAGAGAAAATCATATAGAAGAAGAAGAGTTTTGAGTTTGGAGGTGACGTTACATTTATTGGGTATGGGTGGGTGTATTGGGTGTGGATGGGCATATTGCAGTTTTTGTGTTTTTTGGTTTTAGGGATTTTTTAAATAGGGTTATGTCTAATTAGACTTCTGGGCTGCGTTGTTATACCTATCTAAGGTGCACAAGTAGGGATGACGATATTAAGTGGATATCCGCTAACCAGCTCCACCCGCTTAAAATAAATGGACGAAAACCCGAATTAAATGGATGAGAAGCGGGTGACGGATGAAGCGGATGATGGATCGGATCGGATGTGGATGATATTTTTTTCACCCGCTAACCATCCACCCATCCGTTTAACATATATTAAATTTTTAATCAAAGAATTTTACTAATAAATATAGAATGTGCAAGAAAATTACTTGTCTTTTTTTTGTTGCAAATTAATTTTTCAAACAATATGTTATTATTATTTCTTTTTTATTAATAAATTAAAAAAATTATTATATAAATAACCGAAAATTAAAGTTTATGTGAGTTTTTTTTCATTCTAGTACTCATCCATTTGTTATCCGCTCCACCCGTTTCATCCGCGGATGATGGACGGACGGATATGGATGATGGGTGAAGCGGATGACGGATGGATGTGGATGGAGCAATTAGGATAATGGATGGATGCGGGTGAAGCTCCACCCGATCCAAATCCAATCCATTGCCATACATCTCTATGCACAAGGGTGCACCTTAGACTAATTGCATAACTTAATCCTTGTGAATTATATAAAAACCTACACTATGTGTCATTGGGCCTTTAACCTTGTTTTATGTGCCCAAAAATATATCAATTAGTGTATTATTATTTTTTAATCGGGTAAGGTTTTGGTGATCATTTGATCTTTTTATGATTCAAAATAAGCTTAAAATTGGCCAAAATATAACGTAAATGCTCCGTTTTGTATGTCGAGATCGTAATTACTCGAGCATTTTCATCACAAAAATCGAGAAATTTTTTTATTAATAAAAATAAATGCTTAAAATGAATCAATCATATCATGACACGTGTCATGATTTAATCTTTATGACTAACGATAGGGGTGAAAGTAATTCGGATTAAAACCGAAAACCAAACCAAACCAAATTAGTAATTCAGTTTGAATCAATTTTTTTTTTTAATTCGGATTGGAAAAATTAAAAAAATATGGATTACATATTGGATTCTGTTTTGGGTTTAAAAAAACAGATAACCAAATTACAAACCGAATTTCGACCTAATACTTTAAGCCTATTTTCTTTTTCAAATTATCCAACCACTTTCCCCTTTCATATATAAACGTACAAAAAACCTAATTTTGAATTCTCCTTTCTCAATATATTACTCTCTCACAAAGAATGTAGTTAATAAGAAATGATTGTAGGAATTTTCTGGGTGAAGTTTGAATTTCGGGTTTGAATGTTGCAAAAGAAGGGAACAAACTTGTTTGTCCGGCTTGTCCTTAGCTAATATGTCATTGTCATTGTTGGTATATAAAATCATACACTTTGTGTCATTAAGCCTAGCTCTTACGTAACTAAACGCCCAACACTTATTTTATATCGGTGTCTTCAGTGACTTAGTGAGCAAGGGCTAAGTATAGGGGTGCTAATCGAGTTCAGCAGCTCGCGAGAAACTCGAGATCGACTCAGTCAAAACTCAACTCGAGTTGGCTCGACTCGTACTCGACTCGACTCGAAACCTTAACGCCACGAGTCGAGCAAGCTATAACTCGATTCGATAAGCTCTTGAGCAGCTCGATAATATTTTATTGTTAAAATATTATATAACAATTTATAAGAAAAGTAAAAAAAAAAACAAACAAACAAGTAAAACAAATAATACTGAAGCGGGGCATAAAGAAAAATAAAATATATAGCAATAATTATATAACAAAAAATAAAACACTCCTTCGTAATTAGCAATACTAGAGTACTAGAAATCCAAGGTTTTTGTAAATCAGATGCCTCAACTCATTTTTACCAAATCAAATTATGCCTCATTTTTCCCAAATCAAATTATGCCTCATTTTTCCCAAACCAAATAATGCCATGTGTGCGCCCATTAATGAAATCAAGTTATGGCATTGAAAGTTTGTTGACTAACGGCATTGAACGTGTGGTATAGTCCGTGAAGTCCAGCTATGCAAGCCTATTCATACGTGGATGCTTAGTCAAGGGTAGTAATCCAACTCAACAGGGCAATTTGACAATAATATCCTCAACTTAATAGGCTGAAATACCATAAATGACCTTAGATTGACAAAGTTTGTCAATCATGAAGATTAACATGGAATTCCCCTTGTAAAACAATGCAAGGACCTTTTAGAGAGGATGCCTAGTGTCGAGCTTAACCATGAACAAGAGGAAGGAAGCAACAGGGCAACAGATTTTTTGGCTAAGCATTGTAGAACGAATGCTAGCATTGATTGTAATCTAATTATTTTGGACAACTATCCAGACTTTTTAGCTACTGTAATTATGGAGGATAGACCTCCCTAATTGCTTTGTATTGCTGAACTCTATTTATCTAACCTTTTTTTTTTTTTGAAAGAACTCTATTTATCTAACCTAATTATTCCCGGCTTGCAAAAAAAAAAAAAATGTTAATTAGGGATAGAGTGCGTCGTGGTAACATAATAAAATAAAAATGATCATGAAATATGTTGTTAAATAGATATCAATATAGAGAATCATAATATAAATTCTTTAATTGATTCTTAATTATATACTCCCCTGATCCTGAAAGTTCGACTTACTTTGCATTTACACGGCCTCCAATAAACAACTTTGACCATTAATAACTTCGGCTATGTATAAATAAAATTTTTATAAAGTTGATAATTGAAACTTTCTCTTAAGGGGAATCTAATAAGATCAAACTTGTTAATCTATTTTGATTGTATAAATCATGAATTGTGGTCAAAATTATTTTATTTTGACCACTTGAATAGTAAGTGAGTCGAATTTCGAGAACGGAGGTAGTACATAGTATTTAAAGTTAGTGTATTGACATATATGTCAATTACACTAGGGCAAAGAAAGTAATTAAGAAAAGCGAGTTGGAGAGATATATATACTTGTGCCTTGTTCACTTCACCTTATTTTTGCTGAATTGAAATTATTTTTATTAAACTGATATTATTTTTACTAAGCTAAATTATTTTTGCTAAACTTAAATTATTTTTACTGAACTGAAATTAATTTGAATGAACTAAATTTTTTTTTTAACTGAAATTATTTTTACAAATTTTCTATTATATTTCTTCTTTAAATTTACTGATTTATATTGAATTGAAATTATTTTTAATGAACTAAAATTATTTTTCATGAACTGAACTTGATTTAACTAATTAAAATTAATTTTACTGAATTGAAATTATTTTTACTTAATATTTTTTTAAAAGTGAAGTGAACAAATACTTTTTGATATATTTAAATAAAGATAATAATGCTATAACATTTATTTCGAATACCATGAATTGAAAAGCAATTACAAAGAAAATTCTTATCGTATAACATCATCATATAATAGGAACAATTGGTAAGAATTATAATACAAAATAAAGGAGTCTAGCAACTCTAGCTACTTTGATTCTTTGAATAATAGAATAATAGTTGTTAAAAAAATATTTTGAATAATACTTTGAAAATTTTTGATAGGACGACGCCTTAAGACGTTTAGACGTGCACACCCTGTTACATCATGGAGGTTACCTATTTTCAAGTCAAAAGGATTAAAATTTTGAGAAGTTAGTAAATTATACTAATATGCATAGTAGTTGGTACAAAGTTAGTAGAGTCTAGAATCATTACTCAAACGTGCATATTAGGTAAAGGAATAACAGCTACCAACCAAAAGTTGAATGTCTTTAGAATTATGTGAAAGTCGTGTTTCAATTGGTTTATACAATGATGTTGTAATTAATTTATAGTATTAGTTGGATAAACATCATTATAGCCAACTAATAAATAATCATGTTCAAATCCTTGTTTTCGCTGTCATTTTAAGACCACTTTTCCTATATAATGTTACATGCAGCCCCATTGAAGATAAACATATAGTACACTTTTTTATAGCTTCTCTTCTAGACTTGTACCATTTGCATCATCTAAGTCGAGAACAATAGCAAGAGAGATGGCGTTCGCTGCGGTGTTTCTTGTGATCCTGATGGCCACACCAGCGGCCTTTGCCACGGACTACCCCGTTACATGGAGCTTAGGCACTGACTACTCGTCATGGACCACCAAATCGCTAAATGCTGGTGATACGCTTAGTAAGTGTTCTCTCCCTTTTGGTTTATTATTAGAAATCTACAAGATTTCCTACACAATTACTCATGAGATACACATAGAATTAATTGAGCCTTGAAATAGTGAAATATATATAATAGTTATGACATGTGATTATGCAATTCTCTCACAACTTTTTATATGTGCATATGGATACATGTTAGACAAACCGTTCTATTTAATTGGTTCAATCAAAATAACTACACAACTAAAGGGGTAAAGATGATTATCAACAGCTCAATATTGTCATCTGTATTAGTTAAACCTAATCTTATTAAAGCTATACAATTATTTGTGAAGCATGACAAAAGGCAATGGTTCAAAGTACACCCTCCATTGGGTAATTATCGCTACATAGGGTATGTATACAGTATTAGTAAAATTATAAGGTGGAGACTTAAAGAGGATATACTTTCTTCGGTTTTCATTAAATGCATCACTCTAAATTTTACACTATTTTTTATACATTACTTTTGACTTAATTTTTCAACTAACATATAATATGTTTTTTTTTTTTTTTTTTTTTTTTTTTTGACAAGAGCTATAATATGTTGTTGGATTAGTTAAAATGTCTACTTTTATAATTTAAATATATTATAATATTTACTAATATCTGATAAAAAATATTGATGGATAAATTTATGTATCAGTAAATAATGTATAAATTCAAGTGGTGCATTTAAAAAATAAAAAGTACTTCAAATGGATTGGTGATGGTAAGAGAGTGATGTAATAAAATATTTGTAAAAAAAAGCGGGTTAGTTAAATAGAAAATTAATAAAATAATATGGAATAATGAGCCTTTACCAAATTAGAAAGTGTTGCAAATGTTATAAATCTGAATTTTAAAGTGAGGAAATCATTGTGATTATTATGAAATAGAGTATATGTTTAATTGCTTCAAAAAAAAAAAAAAAGTGTTAATTTAATACAACTAGCTCATTTTTTTTTTTAATTAAGCGGATGTATGTTTAATAGAACTAATTGACATTTGACAAGATAAAGATAAGGGATGACGTGTCATTTTTCATTAGTCTAATATGTAGCTTATTAATTAATATTATCACCCCACTGGTCATTGAATCTATTATATCTAGTTGACTTTAAAGTAGTTGTCCTTTTTTATGTCGTAAGTTCTAAGTTATATTTATCATGTCGTCCTAATCTTATTGTTACTGAAAATGAAAGATAATCATACTTTTTTGTTTGTATCAAACATTAATAATGGAAGATAATGGTGGTCCAACAAAAAATAAAACTAGTGTTTCAGTACTCCATACTAATATAAAGTGAGAGAGGATTTTGGGTGATAAATTTTACTTTTTCAAAATACCTTTTTCATCTTTTATTTTCTTTCTAAAATTTAAAAATAAAAAATAAAATAAAAAACCTACTATCTTTTGAAAATAATAAAAAAAAATTCTTTCAAAAAACAAAATAACAAAATTAAAAAACTACCACCTTTTGTCAAAAATTTAAAGTTACCTATACTTTATCTCAAAAAAAAAACCTTTTTGTAAAAAATAGGGAAGTTATATCTTAATATTTCATCAATTTTCAAACCCAAATAAGGTGAATAATATTTTAGGGGAAAAAAATTTAAATAAATCGAGTCATCTAGATTCTTATATTGCACACGCAACGTGTGTGTCTCCTAGCCTGTTTTAATAAAGTGAAAATTAGATAATACACCCGGGTGCACCATGCTCATGGTGCACCCGGGTAAACAAAAAAAGGCGGAAAGAACATATAGTGTTTGATAAAAAACATACCTATGTTTGACAAAGAACATACCTTTAATATGTTTTTTGAGTGTGATCAGTGTGTTCTTTGAGTAAAATTATATGTTCTTTATATTATAACTTATGTTATTTAACATATGTTGATAAACATATATTTTTTTTGGGTTTAATAATACAAAGTATGTTCTTTGAATTTGGCGTGTATGTTCTTTAAGGTCGTAGTGACTCCCAAATTCTATTTTTTATTATCATATGTCATATTTAAATTACTTTTATTATCGTATATTCTTTGAGTTTGATTAGTGTGTTATTTAGGTATTAACTATATGTACTTTACAATATAAATTATGTTCTTTTAACATATGGTATTTTGAAATTTGATATTGAAATCTTAAATTATTTTTAATTGAAAATAATGTTAGAGTAAAAAAAAAACTAAATTATTATGGGAAGTTGAATTTTTTTTGGAGAGATAGAAAACTATTTTTTGGGGAACTGATATCTTTGGTAAGGATTTTTTAAGAGGTGATCAACATTGGCATGACTCGCATCCCGACCCGATCCGGCCCGAAATAGGGTGGGTTTGGGCAAACCTAAAAATACATTTTTAGTTAAAACTCGAACCGGGTTCGAAAAAAGCCCGAAAACCCGCTACTTTTCTACGGGTTTGGGCACAAGAAATTATGATATGGCCCGGCCCTACTCGATTTTTTATCACCTCTAAATTTTTCCCGTTAATAATGTTTAATTTTTCAGAAAATTTTATCAAGTTTTTATCTCGTTCTTTTTATTATATCTTTATGTTCTTTGGTAATGCATGTTTTTGTCAAATACAAACATGTTCTTTGTCAAATACATATATGTTCTTTATGAAACACAGGATGTTCTTTCCGCCTTTTTTTTATTTATCCGGGTGTACGATGAGCACTGTACACCCGTGTGTATAAACCACGGATTATAATAAAGTGAGCAATACTCCTTCAATAATCATATCTATAATTAATGTTTGAGAATACGGATCTAATCTTTCCATGTATTTCCGTCTACAATAATAAAAATAAAAACAGATGGATAATTATGGGGTCGTATATAAAGCTACAAAGTATTATTTTACAATATTATTACAGTATACCCTTGAATTAATGACGACAGATTAGGCCAATGTAACAACTAACCTAGACCAAATGATTATTCATTAGCATCACCTTTTTGTCATTAAAAAGGATTAGACGAGAATTTTGATGAAACATCGGCATGATCATTGAAACTAATAGCTTTGCATATTTACTTAAAACATTCATGCATAAGTTACGTACTCATATAGTCATATAAACAACGTAAACAATTGCTTAATCGAATTTGTTGTGATTATACCAGCCTTTACCTACGATGGCACACACAATGTGGAGGAAGTAAGCAAAAGTGCCTACGACAGTTGTTCTTCTAGCAATGCCCTTGAAAGACACACCGGTGGAAAAACCACCATTACTTTAAAGGAGGGTCCAGCATACTTTATTTGTGGCACCGCTGGACATTGCTCTGGAGGCATGAAGCTACAAGTAACCGCCAAAGCGTCCGGAGGATCAACTACCCCATCATCAACACCTACGCCCTCTGGATCAACTACTCCATCTTCGTCTACCCCAGCTGGTAGCAATGGTGCCGCGGGGCTTTCAAGTGTGGCTCCTTTGATTATTGGTTTGCCACTTGCTTTGGTTGCTTTCTTTGGCTAGAGAAGAGGCAGTGCAGATGGCATATCATTGGCCAGTTTAATGATTATGTGTTTTAATAAATACTTACTAGCTGTTTTTATTCAGTTTTAAGGAGTTTGTTGTGAATTTGAAGAGATGTATATTGTATTTAACATTTTAACTAGTGTTTGTCAATTTCATCTGAGTTTGTAATTCTTTCCATTGTTATCACATGGCTGCTTTTAAGTAGGTAGTTTATATAATCTTATATGATACATTGGGCAATGAGTTATGATTTTTCACAAGTATAACTTACAGATTAACAGTATCCTTCTTGATAAAAACCGATGCAGAATTAGAGATTCAGAATCCTTCTTGATAATAACGACCTCAAATGCTGGTGAGTTCGCAATTGTTCTCACCGTGAGCTTAACTCTGTTTATGAGATATATGACACTGCGACATTCAAATCAATAACATAATTATTCTAGTAGTTGAATTAAGGCCTTCACACCAACTAACTACGTATGCTAAATATTGTTTGATTGACAAAATCATAAGAACTTTGTACATGGAAATTTATCATCTAGTGGAGTATGCTGCAAACACAAGCCCTCCTAACTAAAACATCTATTGATAATCAACCTGGCGATAATTGACAGAATTACAACTCCATGTTAAATGAAACTATTTGCGTCTAACTGAACAATCACTATGCTTTACCAAAGCTGATAGCCTGATACAAAGGCTTACCTGAATAGCCAACACCTGATTAGCAAAATTTAACTCAAAATACCTTGATAAATTGATAAGCTTTGGAGCAAGCCAACAGAGAGCAATTTTTCAAAGCACGACAGAAACTACGGAAGCCAAGATATGAAAATGGATGAATCATAACAGCATACAACTTCTAATCTATCACCAAAAGCGTGCATATCACCCACATCCTAACAGTTAATACCTACACAGAAAGTTCCCTAATTTGCAATGGCATTTTTATGTAAAGAACTAAAGATATTAGCGATTGAGGTTAAACCGGTACATTAAAGCTGTCACTACAGAAGGGAACTAACCATCAGTTCCCATAAAGGGACATTCTAAAGGTCCATATTTACACAGAAAGTTCCCTAATTTTGCAATGGGATTTTTATGTAAAGAACTAAAGATTTTAGCGACTTAGATTGTCACTACAGAAGGGAACTAACCAAGTAACCATCAGTACCCATAAAGGGAAACTCTAGTCAATAGCTGAAGAAGCCTGCTAAACTAGCAAAAGGCATGCATATTTGAAAATGAAATTTTACAATTCAATTTCAAATAGTAATTATAGCAAAGTTGTTTCTACTAGCGATTTATTCAATCCCATGGGAGGATTTGGGAGTGGAAAAGGAGATGGAACTAGTGGAAGAATATCCTCTGTGGAGGGTGGTGTTTCCTTGTTATCTTTTTGCTTTGAAAGGCCAGCCTTTTCTCTCAACATTTCAAGCTTTTCTTTGATTTTCCGACGCATTTCTTTCTTTGTAATGCGTGCTTCAGCAATTTCAGGTGATTATGATAGTCCAATCCCACTTGCTGACAAAGTGGTCAAACAAATCATCGCATCTCTTCGACTAAAACAGAGTTGCTTGGATGTTTCCAGTTCTGATTTCCCCTTACACCTTACCTTCAACAAGCAGTAAACCACCATCAACAAGAATGGTGTAAAGTTTAACATACAGAACAAGAATATTAGCCTGTTTTGACCTACCCCTGAAATTCCAAGTCACATTATTGTAACATTCTGCTGATCAGTTGGATATACCGTACATTGTAAAGTACGTAAAAGCAAGATTTTAACAGCTATCAACAAAAAAAAGCAATCAAAACTGTTTTCTGACAAATCACTATACATCAACCTTTCTAGATGTTGCCCCAAATATTGATATTTAGGAAACAAACTAACAAAGTACAGATGGTGGTACCATTTGAGGGAGGGGATTCTATATTACACTGTAAAAGTTATACTTACCTCTTTTTTTTTTTTTTTTTTTTTTTTTAAGATGAATCTTTGACGCTATTCACATGCTACTCTCTTTATTTTAGGTGAATTATACTTAAGAAAAGCATAATCATGTGAGGTCTTGTTAAAAAAAATCTCTCTGTACATTTCAAAATATAGGATATTTATAAATTTACTAATTGATAAAATGATAATCAAAGTTATTAATGGTTGAAGTCATGCATTGACAAGTGTGAAAATAGATGTGTTTATCCAAAAACAATTAAAAACCTAGTATAGAAAAGTTAATCCATTTATCTATGAAATGTTTAGATATGCAACTGCCCCTCCCCCCCCCCCCCCCCCCCCCCCCCACAAAAAAAAAAAAAAAAAAAAAAAAAAAGAAAGAAAAGTTAATCTAATACTTCCGTTAACTTTTAGTTGCAACTTTGAATATGTTTAGATATACAACTGCCCCCCCCCCCCCAGTTAATCAATTTATCTATGTAGCTACTTCGATCTCATGGTGGCTTTTTTAAGGGCATGCAAGATGTGCATTTCATCCAGAAAAAGCCTCACTTTGGATTAGAGATTAAGGCTTTTTATGGCCAAGATCATCATACATCATGGCAATGCAATGAAACCAGTACTAACAAAGCAAAAGAAGAAGGCACGTCGAAAGTCTTGTTTGGAATCTATCAACGAAAGCACATTTGATACCCCCACAAAGTGTTTTTCAGAAGGCCAAAAAGTCTCAAACATCAAAATAATGCCAGCAAGTAAATACCCCAAAAATTCCATGGCAAAAATAAAGCAAAAGCAGGGGAGAAAAAAAAAACGACTGCATAGCAGCGAGCAAGTGGCAGTGGTAGTTGCAGCAAGTGGTGATGACAACAACATTAACAAGCAATAATTTGATGTTGCACTTTCAGTTAACACTTCATTGCCAAATTACAAGAACATCTTAATCAATACCAAAGTATCATAACCAAGACACCAATTTTAGGTTATTACTAACATAGTAACATCTCAAAATTTTTTAGAAGAAGAGCACCCCTATAATTCATCAAATTATGACCTCCCATGCTAAATGAAGATTTAGATGCAACAGATGATATAGGGATGGCCAAACATCTCTAGCAACACGACATAATGTAGGATGCCTTTTCAAAAATGGAGAATATCAATGTCTTTCCCCATTAATACTTTTGTTCGAGGTAGAGCCAAGTAAGCTTCAAGATCACCAGTTAGACTCCTTATTGAATAATCATCATCATCATCATCATCATCATTAGTAGCACCACACTTCTAAAATAATAATAATAAAGGGGGGGAAAACACATACTTAAATAAATTTATACTTCCTCCATTTGTTTTTATTGCACCAATTGGTATGGGGCACGAGATTGAAGGAAATTTGTAAAGAATGACATATGTGCCCATTTAATAACACGTAAGAGAGCGAAAAGGTGGGATAATAATTGTTATTATAACATGTGACCAATGGTAATTGGGGCATTTTGTGTGTCAACACAAGAAGTAAAGAGTGAATAAATCATAACAAATAAGGAAATGATGCAATAAATATGCAACTTCCCAAAAGGGAAAATGGTGCAATTAAAAAAAAATCGAGGAAATATCAAATACGACAAGCAAAATCATTAATTGACTAATTAACACAAATATTTACCTTATATGCAGCTAACAATGCAAGAAACCAACCTTGTTGTCACCACCATCATCAAATTCATTAAAGGTGTACTCCCTTAGCTAGAAGTGGATGGTTGAGCATAATATAATAGAAAGAATACATATAAGTAAGCGCATCCTTTACCTTTTTTCTCTTTACGTCAATGACCTCTCCAAAGTATAACAAGTTGTACAATACCTCACATGTTGAATCTTCTTATAACAAGGGTTAAGAACAGCAGCAATCGAAAGAATTAAATATTATCTCACCTAATAATTCTCAAACTTCTCCAACATCATTGATGCCAAAGGTGCAAGCTTAGGATGTTTATGGACTTCATAGATATAATACTAAATACGAAGCACATTCTTAAAGTACAAGTTAGCAATTGGATATTGAAAAATGTTATAAAATAGCAAGAGAAAGTCTCATACATTAATCATCCGTGAGTTTATAATCAACCCCCAACCAAACCCCAAAAATCTATTGATATATGTTCTTGCAGGCTTAGCTTGTATAGCTTTTTAAAACATCAAATAGGTGGCATTCTAGTATTCCACCAAGTAACAACATCAAGATACGCTTTACCTTTAAATGCACATTTAACGTCAGAATAAGCTTGCTCAAATTGAGTAAGCCTAGAATCAATATCAATATATTTGACCACTTCACGCAACTTATAAACAATTCCATCAACAAACTCTAAACCTTTTCTGACAATTAGATTCAAGACAAGAGCACAGCAACGAACATGGAAAATTTACCTCCACAAGAAAGAGGAGAAAAATTCATGACATATTTCCTAAGCAAACCAGCCATCACATCCATCAAACGGGCATCAAAAAGAAAACTTTATTATGAAGGTTCCATTCTTTAATCAAATTAAAAAAAAAAAATTCATCTCTAAATCAGAATGGTGAGGTTGACAATATATGAAATTTAGAATTTGAAACTTTTTTATTCCAATGACCATCCATATAATGAGTAGTTAAAGTAAGGTAGTCATGATTTGTACAGAAGCAATCCACAAATCACAAGTAAAACTAACCTTGCTACTAGTTTTACCCAAGTTATCACACAACATAGCTTTCAATGTGTCAAACTAAACAAAACAATACTTATGAATAGTGCTCCTACAAATATGTTCTACATTCTTATTCAAGTAAGAAATTGCTAACCTGAAGTATTGATGGTTAACTATTCCTAAAGGATATGCATGACAAACAACAGCTTTAGCCCACTTACTCAACTAAATTTTTTTATCAAAAGATGTAGATTCGATTAAAAGGATAATCTATTTCCATTTTAGGTGTTTGAGGACATACTTTAACATGATATTTACATGTTGAAGTACCCATAACAGATTCTGATTTGATATCTGCTCCATAGTAATTACACGTAGAAAAGCTATAGTAGGTTTTTTATTTACCATTAAATCTATCAGAGAGAGTAAAATGTTTCCAAAATTCCAACCTTCGTCCATGATAACCACCCTTAGATATACGAGCACTACCTCCAACAACTTGTAGACTTGGTGAAGAAAAAGTAGCGCATTGGTTCTCTACTGTTTGATTTTGAGACTCCGTCGTCTAAAAATATAAGTCTTTAGCATCACCAAATTTATATTGACAATGTAAGCTAATATTTATCTTGTTGATGTTGTAGCATTTTTTTTTTTAGATTGAGCCTAAATTTAGGTCTATACGTTAACTTACATAGTTACATGAACCCTATTATGAAACTCTGGATATGAGTGAATGCGAGTCACATGATCCTTATGAGTCTAATAACTATGAGTTATTTGTCAATAGCTTGAGGTTGCCTTGTTCTTTCCACCTTAGCTTTGTATGAAGTATGTTTTAAAATAGATAAGTATGGATGGTGTTGAATATGATTATGCCTCGAGTGATTACAACAAAGCCTAGCTATTACCCTACTTCTATGTTTAAACTACAATTTCATTAATATATTGTTTTCATCTTTCAGAAAATCCGAATAACATGACTTATTTTGGAATACCACTTTTTTTCTGTTATATTTGAAGTTCATATTGACCTAAATAATGTGACTTATTTTGGAAGAATTTGTGATTTGGTTGCTAGTTTTCTATCTTTTCTCTTTATAATTGTTTTGTAGAAATGAATGGTCAATATGAATTTAATGGTACAAGAGACTCACATTTTGAGTCTCAAAATTGAACAATAAAGAACCAATGTGCTACTGTTACACCCCCAAGTCTACGAGTTGTTGGAGGTAGTGCCCGTATTTCTAAAGGTGGTTCTCGTAGACGAAGATCGCAATTCGAAAAACATTTCACTCAATCTGGAAGGTTTGATGGTAAATACCTTAAAAAATGAAACACCAACTATCGCTTATAATAAGTGTAATTGTTGTGGAGCATATATCAAAGCAGAATCTACCATGGCCTATGGGTACTACAACATGCAATTATCATGCTAAAGTATTTCCTCATGAACCTAAAATGGAAATAGATTCCACTTCTAATCAATCTATATCTTCTTTTGATAAAAAAAATCTAGTTAAGTAAGTGGACTAAAGTTGTTATATGTCATGCATATCCTTTACGAATGGTTAAGCATCAATATTTCAGGCTAGCAATTTCTTAATTGAATAAGAATGTGTAACATATTTGTAAGAACACTATTCTAGCATGACACATTCAAAGCTATGTTGTTTGATATAGGTAAAATTAGTAACAAGGTTAGGTTACTTGTGATTTATGGATTGCATGTACTAATCGTGGCTACCTTACTTTGACTGCTCATTATGTGAATGATGATTCTAATCTCAAGTCTCAAATTCTGAATTTCAGATATTATGAACCTCCCATTCTAGTTTAGAGTTGGAAAAGTTTATATTTAATTTGATTAAAGAATGGAACCTTTTAAATAAAGTTCTCTCTATGATTGTAGATAATGCTTGTTCAATGGATGTGATGGCTGGTTTGCTTTAAATAGATATCATGAAATTTTCTCCTTGTGCTTGTGGAGGCAAATTTTTCCATGTCATTCGTTGTTACGCTCATGTCTTGAATCCAATTGTCTAGAAAATATTTAGAATTTGCTGATGAAAGTGTTTATAAATTGCGTAAAGTGGTCAAATATGTTATTAGCTCTAATTCTAGGCTTACTCTGACGTTAAATGTGCATTTAAAGGTAAATTATGTCTTGACGTTGTTACTCGGCACCTATTTGATGCTTTAAAAAGCTTTACAAGCTAAGCCTGCAATCAATACATATATTAGTAGATTATGAGAGATTGATTATAAGACCATCTCCAATGGTGAGACTCAAGTTTTAGTATTGAAATACAAAATGAGTTGTTTTTTTACCTCCAATGGTGATACCATACCTACTTCTCAATTTAGCAACTCATGTTTAGTCTAATTTCCCAATGGTAAGACTTTATTAAAATATACAAATGTCACTTTCAATTTATGGCCCAACAAATTCATTTTTTTTTTAAATATCAAATATTATTAGATTAAAAAACAAAAAAAAAGGAAAAACTTAAGTAAATTAAAAAATATATTAGAATATTGACAAGGGTCCATACTTTTTGTCAAATGAGACTCAAAGTTGAGTATCTAAACTTAGCAACTTTCTTTTGGAGTTGATACGTTTAGATACCAACTTATTTTTATACATTGCAAAAAATACTCTCTCTCCTAAAAATACTCACTTGAGTCTCACCGTTGGAGAGGGTCTAAACTCACTAATGATGAGTTGGAGACTATTATGCAACTTTCTCTAGCCATTTTAGAACATTACCACTCTATTTTCTGGTTCCAATATTCTACTACTAACTTGTATTTTGAGAATGAACTTCTTATTGAGTACTATATCAATAAAGCCCATAAACATCTTAAACTTGCACCTCTGGCATGGAGAAGTTTAAGAATTATTTGGAAAGCTACTCTTTAATTCTTTCAATTGTTGCGGTTCTTGGCCCTCATTATAAGATTTAACGTTTAAGACAATTGTACAACTTGCTATACGTTGGAGAAGTCGTTGAAACAAAGGTAAAAAAAGGTAAAGGATACTATAACTAATATGTATTCTTCCTATTATGCTCAACCTCTCAATTCTAGCTCAAGGGAGTAAACCCTTTAATGAACTTGATAATGGTGATGACGACGAAGTTCGGTTTCTTGCATTATTATTTACATAACATTTATGTTCATTAGTTTATCCATGATTATGCAAGTCTTATCTTTTACAAATATATCTAAAACCAGGATTTTTTTTTTTCTTTCCTTTTTACCATTATTTAAGAAGTGTGGTGCTACTAATTATGATGAAAAGCTTAACGATTCATAAAAAAAAACTTAGATATTCTCTGGTTTTAGAAAAGTCAAGTTGAGTTGTATTTTACATTATGTCATGTTCCTAGAAATGTTTTGGCCAATCCTATAACATTTGCTGCATTTGAATCTTCATTTAGCATGCGAAATATAGGAGTATGTTGAGATATTAGTAACCAACCAATATTGGTGTCTTGGTTATGATATTGATATTAATGAAGATATTCTTGTAATTGGTAATGAAGTGTTACCTTGAAAGTGCAACATCAAATTAGTATAGCTTGTTGATGTTATCGCCGCCACTACTTGTTGCAACTACTATTGTCACTTGATTGCTGCTTATGTTCTTGTAGCCATGATGCTTTTGAATCTGCTGCTTTTACTTTATTTGTGTCATGGAACTTTAGGGTATTTACTTGTTAGCATTAATTTGATGTTTGAGACTTTGTAGCCTTTTGAAAAATACTTTGTGAGGTATCAAATGTGCTTTCGTTTATAGATTCACTTTGAATTTGGAGCTAATCTTGTCACATTCCTTTGTTTTTTTTAAAAAGATTTATAGAATGGCGAGCAAGACGGTGTTAAGTGGATAATAAATCCAGAAAGAACTCACACAAGAATAGAGGAGGCTTATAAAAAGTTGCTCTTCTTATTGTGCGACTTATGTGGACAATTATTATTATCCACCAGAGGTTGAAAAAAAAGAGTTAAATTCCCCAACCCCACCCCCCCCCCCCCTCCCCTTGTTGTTCAACATCATGGACTAGTCGTTCCCCCAAATTCAAAGTGAAGCTATTTCTTTGTTTCCTTGTTCTTTTGTTTTTGTTTTTCAAGAATGCCAGGTGGAAGGCATTAATGAGGATTAAATAGGTGAAGCTACGGGGCCAGATTTTCACGTCATCCTTAAAAAGCAATTTTTCAAATGAAAATTCAAAATATGTTAATTTCACAATTTGAGCGGTTTTTTTTTATTTTTTTGGTTCAAAAGTGGATTATGACTTGTTCGACTGTAAATTTGGATTTGGATTACCGCAAACTTTTTGGGTGGAAATATTGAAGTGGCGCATTTTTTAGCTTAGTTGTACATTTGCAGGACACCCAACCCCCACCCCTTTATCCCCACTACTTAAACATGAATTTTTTATTCTTCCACTTTTCAGTATTTACAATAAAATATTCCCACTTCTTAAAATAATACAAGAAATTGAAGCTCTTAAAACTCTGCAAACTAACAAGTCTAGCTTTTAAAAAAACAGAGGGAGTATCTCTTCAAAAGTTTTACTTCCCTCATTTTTATTTAGCTGCATCACTTTTGTAATTATGGAGTTCTAAGTAAATTTTAGAATAGAGAAGGATAGAGAGCAAAAAAAAAAGGAACCATATGATAGGAGAGATAGAGAGGATTTATTGACTAAAAGGGAAAGTGGTGCATTTAAATTGGAACTTTCATACTTAGAAAGTGATACATCTAATAAAAAACAAACGGAGGAAGTATTTATTCTCATAAATTGAGATGTGTTACTTAATGAAATTACTTTATAATTTATTTTAAAAACATTAGAAAAAATTTGGTCAACAAAAAAATTGTTAAAATTCGTTAATGGACCTAGGGTTGTTCATAATGTCAACAATATATAACAAAGGCATGAATTTAATTAGGAACATATCTTAGTCCACTTAAGATAGTTGACGGTAAAGTAATTGTCCAACTACACGCTAGAAATCCATCAAATAATTGCTTGCTTTGCTTAGTAAGCTGGCATATGCTTGAGTTGATGTCATCTTCCATAAAAGCATTAATTTGTCTAATCTTTTTTACTAGAAATTGGAGATAGAATAATTAAAGATGTACTCTTACCATGAGAATTAAAATTACGGATCGTAAACGGTTTGGTCATAACAACTTATGAATTGTAAATGTTTCGGTCATAACGGGTTACGAGTTATAAATAGTTTAGACGTAACGGGTTAAGAGGTTAACGGTTCGGTCATAATGAATTTTAAACAGTTTGGTTATAACGGATTACATGTTATATTGTTATAAACAGTTTGGTCACAACTCACAACGGGTTAAGGGTTGCAAACGGTTCAGGTTCAATTTCGAGTTTGAAAATTTGGGTCAGTTTTCGGTTTTTAAAAAATGGGTTCTTAGTGGTTTGGTTCCTTTTCAAAACCGTTTGGATTTTGGAACAGTCGAGTTCAGCAGTTGAGGTCTGTCTTTTTACAGTTCTACTAACCATCTTTGCTCAACCTATTCGCATAAAAATCTACCTTACCCTCTTGAAAATCTCTCCCATTTTTCCATACATATTTATTCTATCTTTTCATACACATCCTCTCCTTCCATCCACTACAATTAGGTCATGTTCTGTTCACCTTATTTCCACTTATTTCAAGGTAATAAGCGTTAATAAGTTGTGATTAGGAGTGCTAATTGAGTTGAGCAGCTCGCGAGCAACTCGTACTCGACTCGGTCAACGCTCGGTCAAAACTCGACTCGAGTTAGCTCGACTCGAATTCGACTCGACTCTAGATATTAACGAGCACGAGTTGAGCAAGCTCTAACTCGACTCGATAATATAATATTAATATAGAATTTGCAAACAAAGTTACTATCTTTAAACAAATTTGACACTTATTAAGTCTTAATTTATATCATAAAAAAAGAAAGAGTAAATGTTTAATAATATCTATATATAACAAGGAAAACAATATAAATTGAACAAAAAATAAATAAAGGCATATAATAATAGAAGGACCAAAATTTTAACGAGCAGATCGTGAGCTACTCGACTCGACTCGAAACTTTAACGAGCACGAGTCGACATGTTTTATTTGCTCGAAACTTTAGCGAGCACGAGTTGAGCACATGTAAAAAGTTTTCAAGTTGAGTCGAGCACCCCTCAGCTCGTCATCGACTCGCTCGAAAAGAACCCCTAGTTGTGATAAAGGTTAATCAAGGGTACTAAGTTTAATTTATAACTAAAATAAGTTCAGATAAGGTCTGATAAAATCAGATAAGTAAAAATTCTAAACCAGGTGAATGAGGTGAATAGAACACACCCTTAATCAGCCATGAGAAAGGCAATTCCAAATTCTAAACCACATCTCCAATACTAAATTGGCATTTAAACCATTCGAGATGTCAGCTTGTCCAACCGCATTTCGACAACAATTCAACATCTAATCCACAACCCCAATGGCCAATTCACTTAAAAGATTAACATAAACAAATATCATCCAGAAATCCAAACATTTAATCCCAACAAGTAGATTATAAAGTATAAATTTAAATTTCTTTTCACAGTAAAAATTTAGTTTCAGTATATAAACTATATACAATCAACTCCAAAAACCCTTGTTTCCTTAAGCTTAATGACTTCATTATCCTAATTAACAGCCTCTTTACTCTTACCAATACGACTAAATATAATTTTGCACCCAAATGAAATTACAAATTTACAATTCATAAAAACTACCCAGATGCTTGTTTTGAACCTCAATCAAATTTACTTTTCAGTTAAAGCAACTTCTATTAATCTTCCAGATTTTAAAGAACAGTTGTAAATTTATAATACAAAGTTAACCCACAAAATTCAATTAATTAAGAAATAAATCAATAAATAAATATACCTGTAATGGGCGGACAATTCTAGGTTTAAGTTCGTAATCTGAAGGCTTTGAACCGGAAATATGTGTTGGTGTAATTGCTGCAATCCTCGAAGTGCAGAAAATCAAAGCCATGTTCAGGAACTGCAGTAGCAGGCAACAAATAACTCCGTAAGATGTTAACGTCGCACTCAAAATCTTATGAATTGTTTGATTGTGATGTTTTAAATTTGAGAATTAAGCCATTTTTGGTTGAAGGGATTTGGAGGGAAAAGAAAGGAAAGAAAATTGTTTTAATCTTATTTCCATCTTATAAAAACTAGTTGTCCCATCGCGTGCAACGTTTAAAATGGTAAATATCGGGTATTGTTAATCGTATTATTTACTTTTAATGTAAATTTAGTATTTTAGTATGAATTGTTATTTTTTTTCCTCTAGTAGTGTGACAATCTAATAATAATGAGTACTTTTAAAAAGCCAATAAAAATAGTTACATGTACTTAATAAAATTCAATAAAGGTTTTAAATATGTGAATGATTTTAAAGTAAGTGTAAATGTTTCGCTAGTTGTACTTTTTTTGGTTCTAAAGTTGAAAGATTCGAGTCCGTTTTTTTAAAGACAATACAGGTTAATTTTTATAATTATATTTTGTGAATTTAGAATGAATTGTTATGTTTTTCTGCCTAGTAGCGTGACAATCTAACAATAATGAGTACTTTAAGAAAGCCAATAAAAATAGTTACATGTAGTTTAAAAAATTCAATAAAGGTTTTAAATATCTGAGTGATTTTAAGTAAGTGTAAATGTTTTGTTAGTTGTACTTTTTTTTTGTTCTAAAGTTGAAGGTTCTGAGTCCGTTTTTATTAAGACAATACAGGTTTAAAATATCCGAGTGATTTTCCGGTGTGTTATTTTTTTGGTACACTGATTTTTTACTAATTAGATTGTACATAGTATATTTTCAGCTTTTTAGCTATTTTAAGAAAGTTCTTATTCTTATTTTTGTGTAGTACGTTTGCAGTGTTATTACAAACAGAATATGAATAAACAGGCATTACGATTTTCAATGGCACGAATTCACTGTAGCAAATTGCAGTTGAAGCTAAGAGACACGAAATTGACATAATGGTTTCAAATTGCAATTTATTTGTCCTCATAAGCGGTTTTCTCTGTGAAACTTTTTATTTTCTAAAAGCGGTTTTAAAGGAAAAAAAAACTTTTTGTTCCTCTGAATTTTCATCTGCTGCTTAAAATGGCTAATTTTAATGGTGGTTCCTCGTCAAAGTTTCCTGATGTTTCAAGCGATGATAAATCACATTCATATAAGATTTATAGGCACGTTTATGCTAAGTTTGTAGTAACTTTTTAGGTCATTTTGTTGCTTTTTAGGACGCAAATGCAGAAGTTGTTTGTTTTGCTCTCTATTATGCTCCGTTTGTGTTTTTCTTAATGTTTCAGGTGATTTTATAGTCATTTGGACGCTTTCGAAGTGTTTGGAGTTGATTCGGATGATATTTAGATGGAAGCCGATGAATCGAGTTTATTAATAGAAAATACCATGTTCGTGAATGTTGATTTTTAGATTTACATGCATGAGGAAAGAATATAGCACTCACAAGGGTCTCTATGCATCTTTCGGAAATGAATTTGAGTTAGAAACGAAGTTAAACGATATTTTACAAAGTGGCAAAACAGACCTTTGGTCACTCTTTTGATCATAACTTGAGTTCTACAGATTTGATTGAGGTGATTCAAATTGCATTGAAGACTAGACTTGAAGAGCTTTCCAATGACAGTTACACGCCCTAAGAAACCTTCTAGAACAGAAGTTATGGCCATTTTAATTCGTGCTATGTACTCTGCGACCAAACCCCGCGACCACGCGAACTTTCCAGCGCTACTGCCAGGCCGCGGGGCTGACCTGCGCCCGCAGGTTTTGGCGAGTGAACAGCAGCCACGAGGCTTTGTCGCTGTCACGTCTTCACTCGTCCCTCTTGCATCGATCATCTTCGTGCCACGTCTTCGTCTATGGTCCAATAATAATGTAACTTATGTATTTATTATTTTCTTATTTCTTTTCTATAATTATTTTTAGATTAGTTTTAAGATAATATAAATACTCAAGGGATATTATTTTTCCCTTATGCCCTTTATATCTTTTATTATTTTACGTTCTTTTTAGTTTTCTCTGAAACTCTAGTTTCTCATGGCATCTCCATGGATTCTTCCATGGATGATTCTTGGGTTTATTATTTCAATTCATTGAGGTATTTTATTTATATTTCTTGTTTTTAATTATGTTTTATTTCTTAGATCTAGTTTTAATTATTTATTTCATGCTAGAGTAGTTTATTTCTAGGGTTTGGGAATCCATGTTTATACAATGAATCTTGATTGATGTTTTTAATATTTTGATTATTAATTTCTCTATTTGATAGTGTTTTATTGTTAATCTTGCAACCTGATCAATTGTTTGATTAATTCATGTTAATAAGAGTTTGAATCGAAAGATCTTACTTTTAGAGGCTTCCCTACAATTAGCAATTCTGATTATGTTAGCGACTGTACTGCATATGTTGAATTGAGAGCGTTAAGACCCGATTGTAGGCTTAGCAATTGCTCTAGGTAATTGATTGATTGAATTGTAATTGATATTTGATAGATTTAGAGCTATAAACACGGTGAACCATAACCCTAGGTCTTTTTATTAATTGTTTTATTTCTATTTTAATTTAGACTATTTTTCTATCCCAATTTCGTGACATAGTTTAGTTTCTCCATACCTTAGAAGTTAGATTGAATAACCATCTTTCTGTGGATTCGACCCTTCTTACCCTACTACATTGTTAGTTGGTTTTGTTAGGAATTTAGTTTTGACAGGTGTACGACAATTGACAAGGTAAAGTCGTATCCCCTAATCAAAAGTAATTCCTAAATCCTCTAACTAATGTAGATAGGAAGTAGGGTCGAATCCACAGAGAAACGAGTCTTTCTATTCCTAATTAAATAAAGTAATCTAAATTATAAAGTAACCAATATGTAAGTTTGGATGTGAAACTAAACTACGGAGATTAAGAAAAGGGAGAAAACAATATATAAAAGGATCTAGGGCATAGGTTCACCAATAAATAATACTCCAGGGTAAAACATAGTAATCAATCATTGACATTGCATAAATAACATGATTAACAGGATCTCGGAATTTATTAATCAACATAGATCTAACAGGCTCTCGCAATTTACTAGATCTAAGTTCTTATTGAAAATAGCCTTTAATATCAAATTAACATCTGCTCGATTCATCAATTTAATAAAGCTATACTTTTACAAGCCGCAATTGTAAAACGTTAAAACAACTCAATAAGAAATTATCACGCAATATCAATAATCAATAATAGTCAATCATCAATGCATCAATTAACCAGATTGTAAAGGGCCTTCGCTACGTATTACAATCACACAATTAATTTACTGGTATTAAATCTCATCTCTTGAATCTCGACTCAATGTTGTCAAACTCATGCATAAAAGATAGGCCTAATCTAGTCACAGAGCATTAAATCCATCAATAGGAAATTAATCTAGCATTGACAATCAACAACAATAAATTACTGTAGGGAATAATTTCAAGCCTTTAAAATCCCACTAGCTTGAACCCCACTGTGATCATACACTAAAGTACGGTGGCGTCCAAAAGGGAAGAAGATAGAGCAAAAGAGTCGCCAACAAGTTTTTAAGGAACTTGTAAACCGTTCACGAGGTGAAGGTTACACCCCTTAACGATCCAAGAGATCGCCAACTCCATAAGGTCATGAACCAAATAAGGGTCCGGGGATGAAGGTACAAATCCAACCTAAAAGAGATTGAACCTGCCCTAATAATAGGCCTCTACTTTATTCTGATCGTATTCATGTGCGCTTTCTGACTAACATACAATCAATAGAATTAACCCTAAACCTGTTTAATCTATGTTGGTTGAATTTAATGCACAAATAAATCTATTATTGGTGATCACTCGAATTTAAATCAAATTAGCCCTAACAAGATTATTAATTATCTTATTAAGCGTGATTGCAAATACCAATTCCCTTTAACCTGCAATAAAAGGTGATCAAGCAATAACAATATAAAATATAATATGTGTCAAGCAACATAATAAATAATCATGATAATTAATAATAATAATCATAAATATTAGGGAGAATATAGGAAGCATCATACTTTTAATCATGCTTAATATTAAAGATACCCTAAACATGATACTAGGAATATCATAATAAACATGATGTCTACATCATAAAATCAGTAAATCAATAAAGTACTTACTTAGATGCCTCGTACCTCTTTCTAATAACAAAATACACACATAACTTCAAGGAAAATAATAAACAAAGCAATTAAATTAAATAATTTAAAGAGTGATTTGGGACCAAACCCTCAGAAATTAAAAACCTTTCACGTCTAGGGCGAAGGCAACTTCGAATATGGCTAGGTGTTTCTAGATCTTGCGAATGCGGAATTTTGTGTTAAAAAGCAAAAATAGAAAAGAATACTAAAGAATCAATGTTATTGATGATTGATGAACGAAAGATGATGAATGAAGAGAATTGATGAGAATTGATTAAAGAGAATTGGTGAATGACAGATGTAGTTGATCAATGATGAAGATAGTTGATAATTGGTGAATGAAAACGGAATTTTTGATACAATATTTATAGAGAAAATCAGCCAAAAAAGATAATTTATCAAAACAGAGTCTGAAGACCACAGAACCACCTTGGCGCCAGCCCTGGCTCATTGGCGCCAGGACCAGTGGCTAGCGCCAGGCGCCAATGGCTGGCGTCTGGCGCCAATCCTGGTTCCAGGCGCCAAGGCCTAGGGTTGGACGCCAAACCGGCTTTTAACGCGTTTTCGAAATTCTGATAAAATTCCCGTACTGGAAGATAAAATAATATAATTTCAGTCGAAAATGCTATTTGATCTAATTAAAACTCTAAAGAATCCTAATTAAATTAAGAATGATGAGAACCTTCTAGAATGTTCTAGAAGACCAAAACCATTCCTAATTACATTAGGAATGATAAATCATATTAGGCCCTCCCCTAGATCATTGGGCCGTACTTAAAACTCAAACCGGGCCCAGTTTAGTAAATTGGCCATAACTTCCTCAATATTCATCGGAATTGGGCTTATAATATATCGTTGGAAAGGTCTTTGCAAGCCCCATCCAACTACACCACTATTGGACCCATATCATGGACCAACCAAACTGGATTGACTGATTTCTTAAAATAAAGTTTTCAAAAACAGAGAGAAGAGAAAAGAAAAGAAAAGAAAATAAAACTTTCCGCAACACCAAACCTTTCCACACTTTCGTTTCATTCGATTATGATTCGACGTGAAAGACACTCATCACTGGGTTTGGTTTTGGGGAGACACAAATGGGTGTCTACAATTACCCCTTCATATTATTCATGGATCCCCATCAACCCTAGAAATAAAACTACTCACACATAGTAAAAACTAAACTAATCAAACTAATAAAATAAGTCATGATAAAAGGAATAAAATAAACAACTAAGATTAAGAGAAGAGAAATCGTTACCAAAATAAATCTGGAATTAAGAGTAGATTAAGAGCAAAGGTTTAGGAGAAATAAATCTAAGAAAATAATTAAGAGAGTAAGGAAAGAGTAAAAGAAAAAGAGAAGGAAAGAGATAGATCCTAAAACCGTATTACTGAGGAGTATTTATACTCCGTACAAATCCTAAACTAAAACAAACTAAAACGACGCTAATCGTCAACTAATAAATACACGCGCCCGATCGGGCGCGCCTTTTTGCTCATAATACTAATCTCGCGCCCGGCCGGGCGCGCCTCCGGGCGCCAGCCTCTTTGGCCGGGCGGCTCACTTGGGCCACTATTTTGACTACGATTGGGCCCCAATTCTTCGGGCCAATCTGGGTTTCCTCTTCCGGTCTTGAATACTTGGTCCAAATGCCCCGGTATCACCTATACGAGCCCTTAATCACCGGTTCGATGGCTCTAACCGGCCCTGGGCTATAAAATCTGGTCGTACTTCTCCAATATTCTTGATTGCTCTAAAATATCTCGGGAAAATACTCCAAAAGCATAAATCTCTGCAAAAGTCAACCAAATCTATGAAAACACTAGAAAACACCAATTAGTAATAAAAGT